GTTCTAAAATCATTTACAAAACTGGAGTTTCTTTCCGTATAATTTAAAATCAAAATAATACAACTCTGAGTTTAAATACATTGAATACATAAGTAAGGTACTATGAATACTTATGCCCATAAAGCTACGGTATAATACTCTGAAGGGGATACTAGAAGTCCTGCTGCGATGGTGCTCCACGAATTGCCTGTTAACCTGCCAACGTAAAACATACGAAGATTGAGCTTACAAAGCCCATCAGTATAACTGCTAATCTAAAGTAGCATAAAAATTTCATAAACCTAAGTATGTTGAAGACATGGTACTAAGTAGTAGATACATACATTATCTGGATCAAGTACTACCTACTTAAGGCTTAGTCATTTTATCTCTGAGGTGGGGTCTCTAACCCTATTGTCTGAATCTGCTACGCATTATTTAAATGTGATATTGGCTCTACTGTGCATCATTTGAATGCAATACTAACTCTATTGTGACTCATAAACTAGCTGAGATATACATCATGGTACGACTGAGGGGTTGCATCTCGGAGCTCATGTACCTCTCTATCCTATCAGAATACCTTCGAGTACCTAAGGTGAGATTTGGAGCTGCATTGAAAATGTACACCCGACCCCTCAGATATATGGGGTGAGATCTGGAGATGTATCGAAAATGTACACCCATCCAACTTTCTCCGTTGAGTCTTGGGGCATCTGCGCTCAGCTGGCAAAAGAAGTACTTTGGTACTAACTGGTATATACTTGGACATAATGACAAACAAAATAATCGCCTTACTGTTAAAGTAACTTGGATGTCCTGGCTATTTCTCGAGTGTCACACAAAGGCTAGTTTTATAATATCCTAACTATTATTGTTTTTATATGTTACTGTTAATGTTACTGTTATAGCTGTTACTGATATTGTTTCTATTTCTAGTTGTTCTGAGTTATCACTGATCTCATTTACTATTCACCATAACTGTTAACTCACTCGTTCTCTGCTCTAGAACATTATGTGACGAATTACTAATCGTTTTATTTCTGATAATCTGTATAGATCTAGTTATTCGCTACTTAGGGGCATTTTAGTCATTCTCTAACTTGGGGGAAGTCTTAATGCAATTTGAGACTTCACGGTGATTACTGAATTTAATGTCTATTTGCTAGGATTCTAATTAGTTCGATATCTGACTCGGGTTCATTTTTGGGGAGCGATGCTCTATTTGATATTCCTACGCTTTCTCTAAATTCACCCTTAAATTAAAGGAATAATTGTACGTCCAATACTCTTGGTCATTCCTGCGGTATACGATACTGATGTCTCATAATTTGATTACTTGGTCGTACCCCTCATTTGTCTACCCTGCATACTAATCCTCCATCCATATATGTATGTTACACGCTTATTGAAGATACTTGGACGCATTACGCCTGCTATGGTTACTCAGCTTGTAACCCACTCCTATAAGTGTTTCTGGGCCCCTTGGGCCATTTACGTCCATCTCAAACTAAATTTTATCCCTACGGGCCATCCTAAGCTCTTACAAACCTTAATCGGGTCGAATATGATCATTTAATATGGTAGTATCGATACTCTAGCTGTAGTATTGATACCTTAGGGTCAAGTATCGATACCCTATGAGTATTGATACCAAAAATATATTTTGATGCTGAAATTGGGGCCCGGTCTCGAGACTAACATTTTTTGTCTCGAGACTGAAGGGGCAGTATTGATACTCCTTTTATAGTATCAATACTTCCTGTCCAAAAACCCTGATTTTTACCCATATTATACGATATCGATACTGTTCATCCCAGTATCGATACTTGAACTCAGAAATGGGTATTTTAGGCTCAAAAAACACCTAAAAACACACTAAAGGCCATGGTTTGATTCTAAGTCATGTACTAATATTGTGAGTGGTTATTTAGGGTCTTAAAGTATCATAAAAACATTTTCTTTACATATAAAACATCGTTTATGGCATGAATCAAGTTTGAACTCTAAAATGTTCAACTACAAAAATCTTAGCAATTTTTTTGAAATTTATGAATGCTTAATACTCCAAAGTATTAAAAATACACTACCTTGCTGATTGAATCCCGAAATTGAGCTCTTTTAACTATAAATCATCCACACAATTGCTTAGATGAAAAAAAACCCCAACTTTCTCTTGAAAATAAAGAACCCATGACTTGAAAGGTTAAATCCATGTATCATGATGGATTAAGAACGAAAATTAAACTTGAAAGAGGTGAGAAATGGCTAAAAAATTACCTTGGCTTAAGAAACTTGAGGGGAAAGAAGAAAAAAATGGAAAATGAGAGGAATAAAAGGAAATGAGAGAATATAAAAGCTCTCGTCCTAAAAATGGTGAAATTTCACTACTGGTCCTCCTCATCTTCCTACTATGTAAAATCCCTCTTTATGGTTAATTGGGCCCAAGATCAACTCAATTAAGTCCAACTACTTGAATAATAAATTAGGCGGGATCCACTTACCTCTCGGGTAAACCCGAAATACTAGTTTGGAATTTGGGGCGTCAGATCATATGCCTTTTCCAAGACAATTTTGATAATCATCCACCCCTTTTGAACTGTTTTCCGACGCATAGAATGTATTACCTCCTGTGATATTATGATGTTATCTATAATAGATCATCCCGAGACAAAATTTGTCTGATTTTCTGATATCTATTATGGAAGGAGAGGCTTTAACCTATTCACAATTATCTTCGTCACTGCTTTGTAGACCACAATACAAAGTATTTACACCTTCAGAATCAAAACCAGAAGAGTTTGATTAAGATTATCCGTTCAATAGTCATTTTCAAAGATTGCACGAATAAAAGAACAAATCGTATCCCCCACTAAATTCTAATTTTTTTTTGTAGAAAAACAACATGAATCCCATCCAAACCTGATGATTTTGGGGGTTCTATTCTAAAGAAGATAATGCAAACCTCATCCTCTATAATCGATTCAATTAAATTATCCAATTGCCCTTCAACTGAGGAAACAAGTCTCGCTCGTAATTAACAGTTAGCCCCTTTCACTAGTTAATAAGCGACGAAAAAAATTCACTGCTAATTCTTGTAATTCATTATCTTCAGAACACAAGTCACCATCTTCATTTTTAACAGCCCTAATCATATTCCTCCGCCGTTTAGCCAAAACCGATGCATAGAAGAATTTAGTATTACGAGCGCCACCGATTATCCAGTTTGAATAAGCTTTTTGACTCCAAAAACTCTCCTCTTGCTCCAATACCACATCTAACTCTGCTCGCAACTACGTCTCCAAATCTCTCAGAAACTCTAAATCATACCTTGCAAGAGCCCGTTCAATTCCCCGAATACTTGCAATCAACAATTTATTTCTTTTCCCAATATGGCCAAAAACCTTCCCATTCCAAACTGTCACATTCTCCACAAAATCATTCAAATTTGTCTCCAGATTCTCTTGGCTCTTATATATAGACTGGAGAAAATCCTGAAACTACAGGTGGTCCTACCAAGCAACAATATATCGAAAAGGATGATTATTCAGTCGGTCAATTACGGGTTGGCTCTTGTACATAAGTGGGTGATGATCAGAACCCAAACGATCTAAGTGCATAACCTGGGAGTTTGGAAAAACCTCACAAAATTGCCCATTTGCCAAACAACGATCAAGTCTCTGAGATAGCGAACTCCTTGACCACGTAAATAGGGGTCTCTGATAGCCTAAATCCACTAAAAATGCTTCCTAAATGAACTCCACAAAGTGTTTACTTCCCAATCTCGCATGTCAAGCTCCCCCATCTTTTCCTCCGAAGTAGAAATTAGCTGACCCTTATTCCCATATGTAATGGGGTAAGGGGAGGTAGGATAGTAGGCTGCCCTCAATGCCAGGTTGATAGCAGCTTCCGTAGGAGATCTCCGAATTATGAAATGCCCTCTGTGAGACTCGATCCCACCTTGTGTTCTACCAACCGAGCTGGATGGTCATTTCTTTTCCTCCGAAGTAGAAATAGAATTAAATCCCCTTGATAACCAAGGCACTTCATCCCCAGGATTAATATCAACTAACGTATGCCAAAGATGCTTCCTCACTAATCTATACGGACTAGCGTACACTAACGTCAGATGAATCCAATAATTATGATTTTGATACAGAAAATGACAGTGAACAAACTGGTTAGCAATAGTCATGACTTCCATTTCAACCAGATTGTTCCACATCACCCAAATACCACCGCTAAAGCCCCTCGCTTCAACACGAAAATAATAAGGATACTTCAATTTGGACACCACTCTATCCGCTGATCTGGGGTTCAAACAAGGCTACCAACTCTGGTTTAGAATATATCACCGCAGAACAAAAAATACGACGAAAAGTGGGGCTAGCCACCCCTTGGCAATTCCAAAACATGTAATTTATATATATAAAAAAAACAAACCACACTCTAGTCATGCAACATTTCTTCTGGGTCATCCTCCTCCCCAGAAGCATCCATGTCTTCATCGTCAGTGATCAAACCTGCTTCAGCTAAATGGGCAGCAGTCTGAGTATCCAATCGATGGTTTTCGTCCTACCCCATCCTGCCAAGTTGCTGAATGAAACCATGAATCCAATCCTGAACCTTAATTGTTTGACCACCATGGGAATCATTAAGATTTGGTATCCCCAACTTGAAACTACCTTTGCTCGCAATCTGGATTCCTTTAGTGTGAGCGTGATTTTTCTGGTTTCCTAACCCCACACCAGCACAATTATCCTCAACTACAGCTACAACATTATGTTTCCCTGGGATATTCCTCACCGAGTTTTGAACCACTTTAATCTGCTGACCAACCATGGATGGTAATACCTTGATATTATCCATTTTGGTACTCTTAATTGCCTTCTTTTTTGTGAGTTTAAGGCTAAGTAAGCAGCATTTAAATTAAAAGCTTATGTCAGTTTCGAACTTGATGCTCCCCCATCTACTGTCTTTCCTTTGAGCCCCTGTGTTTATCCATCTGCTCATCAACTATTTCAGACCCCCTCCATTACCTTAATGTTCTCTTGCTCCCCATCAGGATTTTCATTAACGAGCGCAACAAATATCGAGTTTTTCTTTCCTCCAACAGATTTTTCCGTGCGTGCATTCCTTCTCTCATCCATTTTCGGCTTTCTCTTCATTTTCTCTACCACCATCCAAGGAACATACAAGTCTTCTCCTCGTGATTCAAAGATTTGCCTAGAAATGGTTCTTTCCACCAGATTATATGTACTCAACACGCCCTCGGTGGCATCCTTCGACTTACCACAATTCTCCCTCGTATAGCCATAAATTCCACAAGAATAGCAGATATTGACTAACCCTTCATTCTTAAGCTTTTGAATAAAACCATGTATCCCAATGCACGACTTCAACGATTTATTCAAATCCACTAGCATTACGAGCCTCGCAACTTTCTCCTACCTCCAGCTTGAGTATTATAGTTCACCTTCACTACGGTTCCAACCGCTTCTGCAATCTTTATGAATAGATCTTTGGAATAATATCGATATGGCAATCCTGGCAATCGAACCCAAACAATTGTATGAGAGGGATGTTTCTCCGACGTCAAAAACGAACGGCTCCAAGGTTGGACCGTTAAATAACTGCCATATTTCGTCCATGGTCCTTCGGTAAAAGCTTTAGTATAATCTGCATTATTCAAAAACTTAGCAATGTAGTAGTTATTGTCAAGATGCACAAGTTGCACGTCTCCAACCGGTTTCCATAGGGTCAAGAACCTAGACAAAATAGCTTTGTATCCTATCGGCCAGTCAAGTAATCGAACTACCAATACCCTATTTATGCTTTGGTCAATCTTTTCATGCACCCTCTTAGAGAAACAGACCGTAGTTATCGACCCCGAGTTGTCTATAATGAAATCTTCATCCAATACTTCCACATTATCCATATCACACAAAAGGCTAGAAGCATTAACATGTCCCTTGCGACACTAACTCCTGAGTGTTCATCAGTCCTTCTAGTTCCATGTCCCTTGCCTCTCCACGGGTTCCCTCATCACCTGTCGGACTTTCATGGCATAGCTTTTTTGCGTCTCGACTCTCCTCAAGCGGTGACCACCGACATTTCAGCACCGACAGATGGGGTTCTTGCACCATCCTCTCCGACGGTCGGCCAACCTGCCCTATAGTCTTCCCTATAGAAGGACTCACGTTAGGGGTAACGCTTGGGTTTTGCGAATTATGCGGAGCTTGCATCTAGGGTTTTTTTTTCCTCTTTTAATTTATTAATTTTTTTAATATGCTTTATTTTTAAACATAAATATAAAAGTTTTATTATTTTAAATTATATTTTTTATTTAAGCCTATTTAATTTGAGCTAAAAATATAAACTCGATCTATATATATATTCGGATGGATAAGGCGACCCTTAAAAGTGATTTCCTTTTGTCACAACTCAAAAACTCAATCTTTCCTTGATCAGGTAACGTACATGTGCCTTCAACGTTGATAGGACGTATTTTCTCCTTATTTATACATACATTAATCACATTCATATTGTTTTCAGTGTGAAATACACAAATGATCCCTAATTTAAGGTATTATTTTATTAAGTCTCATTGATTATTAAAAGTTACAAAATAATCATTCGATTGTAGAATGTTGCTCTGTTACAATTACAAAATGGTCACCTGACTATTTATTATGGTTCTGATTTATCCTTTTTCGTTTAAAAATTTACGGTTGTTTAAGCTGGACATTAACATAATAAATGATATATAAAAGTCGTTTAAGATTATGATGTCAAATTTTATCATATCACATTCAACAAGTTAACATTCTGCTTAGAATATCGTTTATTTTTTAACAGAAAATGATAAGTTTAGAATATAATGAATAATTAGATGATCATTTGATAATTTTTAATAGTCAAATGACTCAACAAAACAACACTCCACTGTTTTAAGTCTGCTTCCTCCTATCTTTATCCGCGCTTTCTTAATTTAATATAACTATTTTCCACGTACCAATAAACCAGATATAATTAGAGATGGATATTTTATTCGAATCTCATGAATATAGATTCTAATGGATTGTCCCTTTTTTAAGGAAAAAATGTGTTTGGATTAAATCTAAATTGAGATAAAAAAAACTTTAATTCAAACTATGATGATATTATTAGTATTTCTTGCATATTTAGGAGTAATTATAAAAATATAATATATAAATTATTATTGTTTGATTAAATTTTTACTTTATATAATAAAAATACATTGTATATATTTAAATCGGATCGAGTATAAATTTTACCTTAAGAATTAAGATAAAAATTGTATTAAATAAGATTTTTTTAAAACCCGAATTGAATCAAATTTATATAAAGTGTTTTTAATTTAAGATCAAATTTAGATTAATAAAGGGTAAATTATGCATTTAGTATTTAAACTATCAGTTTTCGTATGTTTTAGTAACTAAACTTTTAATTTCTTAAAACAAAACCAAGCATTTAGTTTTTTTTTCATTTTAGTATATTGTCGTTAAAAACTTAACGACATTTTTTTATGATTAAATTACATCATTCACCACTCAACTATTTTCTCACTCCTATTTTGATACTAAAGTTTAAAAATTTTCAATCTAACAACTCAACTTTTAAATTAGTCACATTTTAATCACTCTAATTTATTTTATTAATAATTTTGTGACATGACATTTATTATTATTATTATTATATTAATATTGTAGACACTCATTTTGTCCGAATTTATTTTTTATTTATTTTCTTTTTATAGATTTCTATCTTATTTTTATTATTTTAATATATATGTTGAGTTAATCGATCGACGAATCGGCCAAGAGGGGGTGAATTGGCAATAAAAATTTTAGTGGAAGCTTTTGCAGAAAATAGAAAATATTTGCACAGCGATTTAGAGTAGTTCGACTTTCTCAACCAAAGTTTACGTCCACTACCTTAGCTATCCACACTAAGGATTTTCCAACAAATTCACTAATTTGGTCTTTTTTTTTAGGACAAAGAGTAACCTTACAACTCCCTCAAGAATTATACCCAAATTCTTGAGAACACTCTCTCCCAAAGAGAAAATTACAAATTTCGCAAACTTACAGAAAACCTCACAAGGTAAGATGTTTGCACAATTCTATAACAAAGAAAGAACACTCAAGAATAAATACAATTGAGTACAAGTAGTGTTCTTGAAAGCAAAAAATGAAAATTGAATGAAAATTGGCTTGAATTGCTCAAACTTGATGTTTAAGGCTTTCTCTTTGTTTCTCTCACTATTCTTGTTGATCAATGGCTTCATAACTTGTTTAAATACACATTGGATTGATTCTAGCTATTGGGAATCATTTGGGTGATGTTAGAGCCGTTGTAGTGTGAAAACCCTCTTGAAAAAGGTTGTTGGGAGCGTGGGGTATCGGTACACCCTCAATGGGTATCGGTACCTACAGTGTAAAATTCAAATATTTTGACCGTTAAAAGATTAAGGGTATCGATACCTCTAGGGGGTATCGGTACCCATGGGCATTTTGTTTTTCTTGGAGCCAAAATTAACACAAGGGTATCGATACCTATGGGGGGTATCGATACCCGTTTGGCATTCTGTTTTTCTCGGAGCCAAAATCAACATAAGGGTATCGGTACCTATGACTTAGGTATCGGTACCTCCTTATTTAAAACTTATTTTTGGCTCGATTAAGGTTTGAAATACTTTGTAAAAATTGTTTCAAAAACATTTGAAGTATGAAACACAATTTTACACTTAAGTAATGATTTAAATTGACATTTGAAAACTTGGAGTAATATTTTTTATATTCGAATAATTTAATTGAATATATAAATTAAAATTCAATATAAAATCATAAAATTCATTAACACTTTATTTGTTATATTGAAACATCAAAATGTTTTCAACAATATATATATATATATATATTAATATAGTAATATTTTTGAAAAATATTTTTTAAAACGGTTTTCGAAAAAAACATATAATATACTTTTTAAAAATCGGTTTTCGAAAATATATAATATATAGTTTTAAAAAAATTTTGAAAACATATAGTTTTAAAAACATTTTTTTTTGAAATATGTATTATCTAGTTTTTTGAAAAACATTTTGAAAATATATAATATATAGTTTTTTAAAAACATTTTGAAAATATATATAATATATAGTTTTTAAAACATTTTTTGAAAATATATATATTATATAATTTTTAAAAACATTTTTTAAAATATATTATATAATTTTTAAAAATATTTTTGAAAAGATATTATATAATTTTTACTTTTTGAAAATATATTATATATAGTTTTTAATTTTTTATAATAATAATATTATTATTTTATTTATTTTTATTTATTACATGTTTTTTAATTTTTAATTTCTTTCATTTTATTAAAGGTCCAAGAATATAGTCCAAATGGTCCAAGCTTCGGGTCCAACCTTGGGTTTGGGCCTGACCCAGTCCGGTGTAGTTTAGGGTTTGCAAAACCCTAGTCATGCATGTCAACGGCGCCGCACAAGGGGAGGCCAACAGTCAAAAGGCGAAACGGTCGGCCGAAGATCCTGGGATGATCGGTCAACCATGAACAAAACGACGTTAGGCCCAAAACATACGGGAACGACCCTGTTATCATCAGAAATAGTCCCCATGGGGGCTGTCTAAATACAACACAACCACGGTGACCATGGACATGGAAGGAGACCGAGTCAACATCTCAATACCAAAACACACATCAACCCACAAAGCCGAAACATCACAACAAATCATCGAGCCAAAATACCAACAAGGGAACACATTAAACCGACAGTCAACAAACATCACGAACCCATCAACAATAACAGAAGCATCGATAATAAGATCGAAACAAAAAACAACCATAACAGTCGAAACACACAACCCATGATGGGAACAAGAACATCACGAGAACAGAACCACAACACAAAAGAAGCTACCAAAGCAAAGCCTTATAAAAATACAAAGAAGACAAACGAAGGAAGTCCGATCTAAACTCGAGGAAGTGCTTACCACCGAGAAGTTGAAGGGACACCGGATCTCCGAATTTTCGAGAGGTATTTTCCTAGACCTATGGGTTTGAGGTAGGATTTAGGCTAAATGGGGCTTAGATCCGGATTATGTAGAACGAGAGGAAGCTTTTGTCCCCTCGGAGACCTTGTGCCGTTGTGCCGACCGTCGTAAGCGATCACCGACGGCGACGACCGATGAACCCTCCTAAGAGAGAGTTGAGAGAATCTATCTCTCACACTCCCTCTCTCTATTTTCAGCTCAAATGTAAGAAATGATGAATTTTTGGAAAAATTTGGGTTTTATAATAATCCGTTGGATCGACCCGCGCGTGACCTGACTTAGGGTTCGCGTGTTTTCACATTATAGTGTAATTGTGTTTTAGTCCCCATCATTTTGTAATATTTTATTTTAATTATTTAATTAAATTCCATTTTATTTTATTTCGAGCATGCATGTTCCAATATTGATGTTTTGCTCACTAATGTAAATTAACTTCTTTTTTTATATATATTTTTTATTTCAAAATTTAACCTTTCTTTATTTTTCTTTTTTTTATATATATTCTATTTCGTTTTTTTATTCTCTTATTATTATTATTATTATTATTATTATTTGACTTATTCTTTTTTATTTATTTTTTCAATTTATTTATTAAATTTTCTTTTCTCTCTGATTTATGTTTATTATTATTTTTTTTGTTTTTATTTTTATTTTTTTTGTTTTTATTTATTATTTTTATTATTCTATTATTTTTTTATTGATTTATTATTTTTCTATCTAACATTTTTTCTACCTTTTTCTAGAGAAATTCCAATCGATTAAAGGTAAGCAATTCGGACCGAATCTTTAAATTTCAATTTAAATTTTTAATTTTCGCAATTAAAGACAATCGATA